CTCCATGCAGTATACAAAAGGCGCCTCTCACCTTTAATTTCAATTCTCTTCTCTCAGAGGAGGGTCACGTTTCCAAGACCGTAGTAGTCAGTGCCCTGATCTGTCGGAATGCTTTTTTACTATTTTCACACCTTTCTCTTTCTGGTGGTGGTTTTCACACATGTGTATAAAATAAATAAGATAAGATGATATATTGTACAACACAGGGAATATAGCCAATATTTTATAATAACTATAAATGGAGTATAACCTTTAAAAATTATGAATCACAGGACTTCCGTGGTGGCGCAATGGTTAAGAATCCACCTGCCAATGCAGGGGACACGGGTTAGGAGCCCTGGTCCGGGAAAGTCCCACATGCCACGGAGCAACTAAGCCCGTGCGCCACAACTCCTGTACTCCAGAGCCCATGAGCCACAACTACTGAGTCCACATGCCACAACTACTGAAGCCCATGCTCCTAGAGCCCGTGCTCCGCAGCAAGAGAAGCCACCGCAATGAGAAGCCCAGGCACCGCAAGGAAGAGTAGCCCCCGCTCGCCGCAACTAGAGAAAGCCTGCACGCAGCGACAAAGACCCAACGCAGCCAAAAAATACGTAAATAAATAAATTTTTTAAAAAAATTGTGAATCACTATGTTGTATGCCTGACACTCATATAATATTGTAAATCAGCTATACTTTAAGTCCAAAGAACTTTTACCTGAACCGTATGAGACTAAGCTGCAGACCTGATGCCCCACCATCTAAATCCTGATGGTTTTTCCTGCAAACAAAGACGTTCTCGTACGTAACCACAGTGCAATCACCGAAATCAGGACATTAATATAGGGCTGCCCTGTCTTTAGAGGTTACATGGGACACACGTTCTCATGCAGTTGCCACAGTCTCCAGCTACCCAGAAAGCCCAAAATATTAAATAAAACCCTCATTATAGATGAGTGACCCTCTGCCCATGGATTCTCCACAGCTGGTCTCATATTTCATCCCCAGTCTAACTCGCCTGAAATCTACTCCCAGGTATGGTCCCCAGATTCACCTCAGCCAGACCCTGCAATGCACCCAGCGTGTGAGCTGGGATTCGCCACAGGTGATGAGGCGGACCTCGAGATGATGAACATCATCTTGTGAGGCACCTGCTTGAGGAAGGACCACGACCCTCCCTCAGGGGGTGCTGGTCTCCAGCAACGGGGGTGTTCTCAGGGAAACTGAGCAGCTCAAGATCCTCAGATTCGTCCACACCAATGACCCAATCCCAGGTCTCAGGTGGGTTCCAAGAATGCTTACTTCATTTCCTTGGAAGCTCTGCCACTGTGATAACAAGACCCTCGCCGGATTTTCAGCAGCATCTGCCCTGCAGCTTCAGGAGGACCTCTGGATTTCATGGCATGTCTTCCATAGGAGATAGGCTGCCCTGAGCCAGACACCTGTATTGTTTCCATTACGCCCTGTTTCCCAGCACCTTGCCTGTCAGCTGCACTCCACCCCAATGAAGCCCAGGTGAGAACAAGCGAGGCCCCCGTGTGCTGGTGACTAGCTCCGCCTGACCCCACCCTCGGCTCGCTCACAGACCCGCAAACATATCCGGATCCGCCTCCATCCGTGGTTCTCGACCGAAGGCGAGTTCCCCTCCTCGGGGACATGTGGCAATGTCTGCAGACAGTTCTGGGGCTATCACCCGGCTGGGGGGCTACTGGCATCTGGTGGGTAGAGACCAGGGCTGCTGTTTGACATCCTACAGCGCACAGGACAGACCCCTGCCCCACAGCAAAGAATTATCCGGCCCCAAATGTTAGCAGCGCTGGTGTTGGGAAACCCTGCTTGAAGTCCGTTACCTTCTGCCTTTCCCTGGGGGGCCTTTGTGGGTTCTAAGATGAGCACATGACCTCAGCCCAATTTGACAAATAAAAGAGAAATGCTTCTCTCCCCGTCACTGGGCAAAAAACAAGAAAACAAGTGGCCCAAATTGGCTCCGGCAGTCATCTCGTTACCCACCCCCCAGAGACTGCACTAGTTTCTTCCTCTGGCTGCTGTAACAAATACCATCACCTTGGTGACTTAGAACACATAAATGTATTCTCTCACACTGCCAGAGGCCAGAAGTCCAAATTCAAGGTGTCGGGGCGGGGCGGGGTGGGGAACGCACCCTCCAGAAGCTCTAGGGGAGATTCTGTTCCTTGCCTTTTGCAACTTCTGGGGCCTCCAGCCATTCCTCGATTTCAGGCTACATCATCCCTGTCTCTGCCCTCAATCCCCTCATTGCTTGTTCCCCTGCTCTGTCTTCTAAGGACACTTGTTGAATTTAGGGTCCAACCAGATAATCTAGGGACAATCTCACCTCGAGATCCCGAATTACATCGGCAAAGAAACTTTTTCCAGATTGGCTCCCGTTCACAGGGGAGGCACCCCACCATTCAACCTGTTACAAACACCCAGCCTTGGAATGACGTTGCATTGGTAATTGTCAGACCGTCTTCTTGCAGTAGGAATCTTGATGATGTCGCTGAACTGCCTGGGGTGAAAGTCAGCTCAGCTTACATCCTTTGAGTATGTCCTGTCATCAGCAGCCCAAGGCATCCTGGCAGAATTCCCAAGCCCCAGAGTGAGGTATGAGGATTTGACCCTGACTTGGTTTCCCTTTGTGAAGAACCCACCCCCTGAAGCATTGTCCTTTCACGTTGCATTCCTGGGTCTGTTTATTACTTTGCACCATCTCCTCTCTGGGCTCCTGTGGCTTTGGGTTTTGTTTTGCATTGTTTTGTCTGAGATTGGTCTCTGGCATCTTTCATCAGTCTGAAGGTCGTAGCTAGGTTTGTGAATCACCTCAAAGCCTTCAGAGAAGCAGACGGGGATTAGGTTGATTTGTGAGTCAACATTTGTGATCCTTGGGGTTTCTGTTTCAGAAAGGAAGCAGATATTGGTTGTGAAGGTTTGTGGTTAGAATTAGCTCTGAGGTGTGTTGCTCACATCTACATAATAGACAAATCTCCCTGTGATTAGCTGTTCTCCTGGGCATTTAGACCTCTAACGCTCCCCCCAAAAAGAAAGTGGGTTCTAGAATCAGACTTTGAATTCCAGCTCCTCTTCTTGCTAACACACCCCCCAAGTTTTTTTCTTCTTTTTTAGCGGGTAGGGAGTTTGTGATTTTAAAAATCTGTTCTTCTCAGTTGATTTGCTTGCAAGCAACACTAGTGAAGCGGACTCCTTTTTTAAAAAATTAAAGAATTTTTTTGGCCTCGCCACGTGGCATGTGGGATCTTAGTTCCCTGACCAGGGATCGAACCCATGCCCCCTGCGGTGGAAGCGCAGAGTCCTAACCCCTGGACCGCCAGGGAAGCCCCTGAAGCTTATGCCTCTTTATCTGAGCAGAAGGGAATGCATGGGAAGTACACTGGGGGTGCTAAGGAAGCAGATTTTGAAAAGGACAGCATGGTAGGCAGAAAAGTGGGTCCTCCCAAAGGTGTCCACATCCTATTCCCCAGAACCCTGTTACTTTACAAGGCAAGGGCGGGGGGATTAAGGTGGATGATGGGATTAAAGTTTCTAATCAGCGGACTTTAAAGGAGGAAGATAATCCTGGATTATCTGGATGGGCCAAGTGATATCACAAGAGTCCTTAAAAACAGGAGGTGGAGGCAGAAGCGGGAGAAACAGAGATGGCAGCATGAGAAGGACCTGGCCTGCCACTGTCTGCTCTGCAGATGAAGGGGCCACAGGCCAAGAAGTGCAGGCGCCTCTAAAAGCTGGAAAAACGTAAGGAAACAGGTTCCCGCGGGAGCCTCCAGAAGGAACCACACCTGTTCACTCTTTTTTTTTTTACTTTTATTTGACTAGAGTTGATTTACAATGTTGTCTTGGTTTCAGGTGTAGAGCAAAGTGATTCAGTTATACATACACACCTACTCATTCTTTTTCAGATTCTTTTCTCATATAGGTTATCACAGAATACTGAGTAGAGTTCCCTGTGCCATACAGTAGGTCCTGGTTGGTTAGCTATCTTATATAGTAGTGTGTGTATGTCAATCCCAGCCTCCTGATTTATCCCTCCCCCTCACACACACGTTTCCCCTTTGGTAACCGTTAAGTCTGTTTTCTGATATCTGTAAGTCTGTTTCTGTTCTGTAAACAAGTTCGTTTGTATCATTTTTTAATTAGATTCCACATATGATGATATCATATGGTATCTGTCTTTCTCTCAGAACCGTTCACTCCTTGCTTTCAGCCCAGGGAGGCCCACTTCGGATCCCTCCAAGGGCCGCCCACAGCATGGCAGCTGGCGAGTGGGGATGGCAGGGAAGGTCGTGATCCCAGGCATCCTGTTTCCTCAGTGGTTCCTCCCCACCATGCTGTCCCCAGCATGACGCGGAGATAACAAGGCCAGATCTGAGTCGGTCTGTTCCTGGGGGGCATCCCCAGCACCCTGCCAGGGTCTGGCACACAGAAGGTCCTCAGTAAACATGCAACGGCAAGGAATATGCAGCTGCCATTCTCCAAGCCAAGCAATAACTCACGGCCATCCAATGAGGTAGGCAGGTAACTCTGCACAGTTTACAGCTGGAGAAACCAAGGCTCAGAGAGGAGACTGGAGGTGTGCAAGGTCCAATGGGGGACCATGAACTCAAGCATCAGCCAGACAATTTGCCATGGCCATCCAGTCCCCGACACGGCCCACACCAGAGGGAGCTGATGCCGCACCCCAAAATTCCTGGTTTGGATTCCCAAGGGAGGCATCTGATGGCCCGGCTCACCTGTTGGCAGCAGGGCACACTGTACCAGCCAGCCCCTGGGTCAGGTGCTCACCTGCTGTCCAATCCACTGTGGCCAGAAAAGGGGCAATACTGCCACCTAGAAGGCGCTGCAGGCATGGCAGCCAGCATTCTTTGGCCAAGACTGCTACCTAGAGGGTGCTGCGGGCATGGCAGCCAGCAATCCTTGGCCAATACTGCCACCTAGAGGGTGCTTTGGGCATGGCAGCCAGCTTTGGTTGGTTGCTGTTCCATCTTGGTGACTGCCTCCCTGGTGGCTTTCATACGTGCTCCCAGAAGTCATTTGGGGAGGCGCTGTCCCCTCTCAGAGGATCCATAGGACATCTCCAAGCCCACAAGGCGGGCACTTTCAGCCCAAAGCCTCTGGGCTACCTCCTCATCCTCAGCTTCCGGGGCCGGAGGTTTCTCTTTGAGTCCCTCAAAGTACTTTCCAGAAACGCCCTCCAACTCCTCCGCCACAGCCAGGTAGGTGCTGGGCTGGGCCGCCAGCTGGGGGCTCTTGACCAACAGCCAGAAGATGGGCCCTGCATCGGCCCACAGAGAGTTCAGTCCACACATTCAGAGAGGAAGATACAGAAAGCCCAGCACCACCCCAGGTGGCTCAGGGTCCACGAAGGCCAGAAGTTTCCCTGGAGTCCCACAGAGCTCTCCTCCAGGCCTTTACCCCTCTGGTTCCCAACACCAGGAGCTCCCTTCCCTGGCACTGCCCAGACAAGTAATTCCAGATGCAGGGATCAGCTTGAAAGCTGCCTCCTCCAGGAAGCCCCCCGGCTTTTCCCAGGCAAATGGAAGGTCCCCCTCCTCTATGTCAGCCCCAAGTCCTCATCCCACCCAATCTTTCTTTAAAGTAGCTTCTGTGTATTGAGTGTCTCCAGTGCCAGCTTCAGCTTAAGGTCCCTGATACCTAGCCCCCACCAACTAAATGTTTTTCAGGATTATAAACACTAGTTATAAAGCTCTATTTATTCGGCCAGGAACTGTGCTGGCTCTTTTAGGGAGGTCTCATCTAATCCTCCCCACTGAGGTAGGTACTATTATGACCCTCATTTTACAGATAAGGAAAGGGAGGTTCGGAGAGAAGTCACTTTGCTGGGTGGCCCAGCTAGTTTGGGATGAAACGAGTTAGCCCAAGCATGGCCGGACTCCAGGAAGTCAGCTCCATGACCTCCACCTCCGAAACAGTCTCATCAAACAGGCTCTGGCCTGTTTTCTGGGGCTATTCTGAGGCTGGCAGACTGGGTAGACATATGAAAGTGACTCAGTACCAGGGAAGATACAGGGCAGGGGGCAGAGCAAAGCCCCTGAGATAGTCTCTGAGTGTGATGTTAATTTTATGTGTGAACTTGACAGGGCTAAGGGATGTCCAGAGAGCAGGTAACACATTATTTCTGGGGTGTCTGTGAGGGTGTGAAGAGATTAGCATTTGAATCAACAGACTATGTAAAATCCACCCTCACCAATGTGGGTGGGCACCATGCAATTAGTTGGGGGTAAAAACAGAAAAAGGTGGAGAAAGGACGAATTCTCTCTCTCTCCTTGAGCAGGGACATCCATTTCCTCCTGACCTCAGACACTGGCGCTCGTGGCCTCCGACTTGGTCTGGGACTTACACCATCGGTTCCCCTGGTCCTCAGGCCTTTGGGTTTGGACTGCAACTACACCGTCAGCCTTCCTGGGCCTCTGGCATACAGATCAGATCCTGGGAGTTCTCAGCCCCCACAGATGCAAGAGCCAATCCCCCCTAATAAATCTCTCTAAATATCTATGTACATCCTATTGGTTCTGTTTCTCAGGAAGACCCTAATACACTGAGGGAGGGTCCTGTGCCCCAAGCTAGGAGGACAGGGGTTCAGTTAAGGGACCCCAAACTGGGAGGGGACTTACCGAGCATGAAGCTGGAGAAGGCGGAGCTGTGCATGCCCGTGTGTCTGCCCAGCTCTGTCCTGGCCACGCCGGGGTGCAAGGCATTGACAGTCACGCCCGTGCCTGGGGAGAGAAGGAAGAAGTGAGGCAGGCAGACGTCGGGTTCACCCCTCACCAGGCAGACTGATACCAACCATCCTAGGGGGCTCCCCCTGAATCCATGTCGCCCTCCTGCTCTGAAACTTCCACATTCCCAGTTTCACTTGCAAGGCAGCTCTGTCTCACGGTTGCCCAGGGCAGAGCCTCTGAACCTGAGTGTGTAAAAATCACTTGGAGGGCGTGAGAAGCCCAGACCGCCGGGCTCCACCCCACAGAGTCTGAAGCAGTGGGTCAGGGTGGGGTCTGAGATGCTGCAATTATGACAAACACCCAGGTGAGCTGACACTGCTGGTCTACTGACTCTTTGAGAAGCAAAGGCAAAGGGCAGACTTCTCAACTGCAGCACTATGGACACTGAGGTCAGATGATTCTTTATCCTGTGCCCTGTAGGAAGCTGAGCAGCATCCCTGGCCTCTGCTGACTCGATGCCAGGAACATCACCCAATCTGCCCCTGCTCCTCAAACTGACAGTGAAAAATGTCTCCAGATATTGCCAAAGCTTCACTGGTCTAGAGCACCAAAGGCTCAGGTGCCTGTCCGGGATGAGCAGAGAAGAATGCTGTGATTGATTAGTGATGTCTGCTTCAGGCACCAGCGGGGAGCGTGGTGGTGAGTGTGTCATATGTTTGCCTACTCGGTCCTGGAGGCAATGCTTGACCTCCCGTCCACCCAGAGTCACAGCAGGACTGTTTCAGGCTCAGAGCTAAAGGAAAGGGAAGACCAGCGAGGCTCGCCACACACACACCTTGCAGCCGCCGGCTCAGCTCCTTGGTGAAGAGGACAACGGCCAGCTTGCTCTGGCAGTAGGCTGCCTTAGTGTCATACTTCCTCTTCTCCCAGTTCAAGTCCTCAAAGTCTATGTGCCCAGCAACGTGGGCCAAGGACGAGAGGTTGATGACGCGCGAAGGAGCAGAGGCTTTCAGCTTGTCCAGCAGCAAGTTCGTCAAAAGGAAGTGACCTGGATGATGGAAAACGTAAAGATAACTTTCACTGAATTCTTGTCCCGTGCATAGGACCGTACTGAGAACATCACCTTATTTCATCCTCCCATAACCCATTTTTCTCAACAGGGTCCAACTTTGCACCCCACACCAGCAGGCATTTGGCACCACCTAGAGACAATTTTGAACATCACAATTGTGGACAGTAGAAGGAGTGCTACTGCCACCTAGTGGGTGGAGGCCAGGGATGATGCTAAAAATCCTACAATGTGGGAGTTTCCTGGCGGCCTAATGGTTAGGATTCTGGGTTTTCACTGCTGCAGCCAGGGTTCAGTCTCTGGTCAGTGAACTGAGATCCCACAAGCCGTGTGGCATGACAAAAAAATGTAAAAATCCTACAATGTACAAGACATTCCTGATAACAAATTGTCACAAAGCCCTGTGATAACCCTCTATGAGGTCAGCTAGAGAAGAGATGCCTTCTGTCTCCCAAAATCCTTTCTCCATTTCTTCAGTGATAGAATTTTGGGTTATACATGAGACTGCCCAGTGAAAGACTACACTTCCCAGACTCCCTTGCAGCTCCATCAGGTCACATGACTGAGTCCAAGCCCAAAGGGGGTGAAGGGTAGTCACATGTGTTATGGGTGAATTGTGTCACCCTCCCCAACCCCCCTAAAAAAAATATGCCCTACCCTCCAGTACCTCAGCATGTGACCTTATTTGGAGAGAGGGTCTTTAGAGAGGTGATCAAGGTAAAATGAGGACATTAGGGTGAGGTCATTAGGGTGGGCCTTAATCCTATATGACTGGTGTCCACCCAACGTCCATCACCCTTACTAACGGACTGCAGATGCATTCAGGGTGACAAAAGATAAACTGACACAGTGAGAGAAGGACAGACACAGACTGGGGGACAGACAGACAAAGGGACAAATGGCCAAGAGGCTGATGGAAGGTCCGAAGCACTGAGGGTCCAGCGATGAACAGCCAATTCCCTGAGCTGCCAGGTGACCCTGCTCACGGACGCCTGGCCACATGGAGAGGAAGACCCCTCCCGGAGCCTGTGTCTGACCCATGGGGGCTCCTGCTCACGTCCTAGGCCGATGCCACACAGCCTGCAGCCTCACCCAGATAGTTAACGCCAAGCTGCATCTCAAAGCCATCCTCGGTGGTCCAGTGGGGGCATCGCATCACGGCTGCGTTATTGATCAGGATGTGCACTCGCTCCTCCTCTGGAAGACAGGGGTGAGGACAAATGTGTGACTCAGTTTCCCCTTCTGTAAAAGGGGTGAAAATACAACCTGCTGAGTAGAACAGCTTTGTTATTATCTATTTGACAAGTATTTTCTGCAACCTAAGTGTCCATTGACAGAGGAATGAATAAAGAAGATGTGGTACATATATACAATGGAATATTACTCAGCCATAAAAAAGAATGAAATAATGCCATTTGCAGTGACATGGACGGACCTAGAGGATTATCATACAAAGTGAAGTCAGTCAGAAAGAAAAAGACAAATACCATATGATATCACATGTGGAATCTAAAAAAATGATACAAATGACCTTATTTACAAAGCAGAAAGAGACTCACAGGCATAGAAAACAAACTATGGTTACCAAAGGAGAAAGGGGGGAAGGATAAATTAGGAGCTGGGGATTAAAATATACACATCACTATATATAAAATAGATAACCAACAAGGACCTACCTATTGTATAGCACAGAGAACTATATTCAACATCTTGTACTAACCTATAATGGAAAAGAATCTAAAAAAGAATTTGTGTGTGTGTGTGTGTGAGCATGTGTGTGTATATAACTAAATCACTTTGCTGTACACCTAAAACTACAAAAACACTGTAAATCAACTATATTTCAATAAAAATTTTAAAAATACACACACAGGAATACCCTAGCAGTCCAGGGGTTAGGACTCCATGCTTCTACTGCAGGGGGCACAGGTTCCATCCCTGGTCAGGGAACTAAGATCCCACATGCCACGCAGTGGCCAAAAAAAAGACCAAAAAAACCACAAGCTAGCCACAAGAAAAGAAGGAAAAAGTTCTGCCTGTAACGATCTCTAAGATAGAACCGGGGAGAAAAAGCAAGGGGCAGCACCAGGTATGTAACAGGCTCCGCTTTGTACAAAAAAGCCAAGGGGAAGTGTATCCCCGTTTGCTTTATAAACGCATAAATGGTCCCCAGAAGGACACACAAGAGGTAGAGCACTGAACACATCTGAGGACGGCATGCTGGGAGCTAACGGCAGGCGTGGCGGGAAGCTGTTTTGCTGTATCCCCATTTGCACTTTCTGAACGTTTAACCCTCCAAAAGTTATTCCTGTTTGAAAAAAAATAAATTCTTAAGTGGTTCTGAGACCATGCGGTGGGGAGCAAAAAGAGTGAGTCAGGCATCAACGCGACGGAAGTGCAGAGAAATGCCAGCCTGATCCCTGGATTTGCAAAAAGAAACACCCAGCAAAGAATGTGGGAGCTCCAGACTCTCTGCACTAACCCTTAGTTACCTAGTGTCACAGCCATGTCCCCCAGCGGCCCGGGCGCCCCTCGGAAGCAGAGCCTGAATCTGACTCACGTCTGTGTCACCTGCGTCACCCAAGAGCCAGAGAGCCTCCGGAAATGTTGGCTGAACCAGTGTTTGTGCCCTTCTCCACCCGGCTAACTCCTCCTCCCCCCTTGGCCTCTGCTTCTTGTAGGACCCAAGCACACAGAGGACTTCGTTTTCCTAGACAGCAGTCAGTTAACGTCTTCTGTAAAGGACCAGGTGGTAAATACTTCTGGCTTTGCAGGCAGTATGGACTCTGTCTCTACTAAACTCTGCCCTCCCAGGACAAAAGCAGCCACAGATAATACATAAACCAATGGGCATGGCTGCATGCCAATAAAACTTTATGGAAACTAAAATCTGAATTCTGGGAACTCCCTGGCGGTCCAGTGGTTAGGGCTCTGCGCTTTCACTGCCAAGGGCGCCAGTTCCATCCCTGGTCCAGGAACTAAGATCCCACAAGCCGGGGCTTCCCTGGTGGCACAGTGGTTAAGAATCCGCCTACCAATGCAGGGGATGCGGGTTCAAGCCCTGGTCCGGGAAGATCCCACATGCTGCAGAGCAACTAAGCCTGTGCGCTACAGCTACTGAGCCTGTGCTCTAGAGCCTATGCTCTAAAGCCCACGAGCCACAACTACTGAGCCCACACGCCACAACTACTGAAGCCCGTGTACCTAGAGCCCGTGCTCCGCAACAAGAGAAGCCACCACAATGAGAAGCCTGCGCACCACAACAAAGAGTAGCCCCCGCTTGCCACAACTAGAGAAAGCCTGTGCGCAACAACGAAGACCCAACACAGCCCCCCCCCCAAAAAATAATAAAAAATACATTTA